TAACCCAACAGATTAGTAACCTGAATTGGGAGTGGGCCGGCCATATAGCTCGAAGAACCGACAACCGATGTGGAAGAAAGATTTTGAGTGGCAGTCTCGTACCGGTAGGCGAAGAGTAGGGCGACCCCCCCATTACGAGTAGATAGAGTGACGACATGGTAATATATGCAGGAAGTCGATGGATGCAGATGACTCAGGACCATGCTTTTTGGCATTCCTAGGGGTGGCCTATGTTCAGCAGTGGACTTGTGAAGGCCTGTAATCATGATGATGATGATGATGAATCGGAAGAACAATATAAATAGTTCCTAGTGTGGGATGATACTTGCGAAGACACTTTGCCATCTCAGGGGTTCCTCGTTTAGAACGAGGCAGCTTTAGAGATAAGCGGCGCTAATGTGACTAAATATTTGTGCCATTTATCGGTCCGTGGGGTCCACGTGCGATGAAGTTCTTAAGGGAATTGTATCCACGACTGGTCTTCGCTGATGCTGATATATGAGGGCTGGTTCTTTTCACGCTCAAAGGCTAAGTATAGCCATTCAACGAGGAAAGGCAGACTGCGTTCTTGGCACTATCGGGGAGTTGGCAGGCCAACTGTATGATAATGTAAGTTTTTAGTTAAAAAAAATTTAATTATGGTTTTATGTTATGGCCTTCCCATAGATTGCTTCATAGAAAGGATATTTGCCATAATTTCCACTCGTGCAAGGTGGGTTGGGAACTTGGGAACCGCAGTTCTTTTAATTTTCTATCTGTTATAAAGAAGACCTTTTTGTGTTTTACGAACTGTATCGAAGTTTTTTTTTTCTAAAGACTGTATGTTAAGGCTATATAAAGGCTGGCTTATACAGTTCTTATAATTAAAAATTTGGCACAAATTCTACAACTTTATACATTATTAGCACTGTACAGTGGCTGTACAAGCACAAAATAGCCTGTACTGTGTTATTTGATGTACAAAGAAACTATTACACTACAGATATTGTCTTATAATTTACTTTTAAAGATGAGCGTTTTAAATTATTTATATAATTTATTGAATGAAGGCGATATTTAACGTTAGAGTAAAAAATATACCTAAAATATTAACATTATACTCGAATTGGAGTTGAGATTTGACGGTGATAGTTGATGAATAGAAAGTGCAAAATTAAATTATAATATTATGTTTTATATCAAAAATTGACGCGTAAGCAAAATAAGCAAATAATACGAGGACAAAATACTAAATATGGTAGGTAACTAAATATCTGTTGTATAGGTTAGAATAAAAAACATATATCAACATAAATGGATATGAAGGCACATTGGCGCACAGTGATCATAAGTCAAACTGAAAATAATGGTATAGCCTAAAATAAGGTCTAATATTCTTAAAATTATATTAAAAATTTTGTTTATATGGGTCTAAAATGGCGACAATTTGCTTAACAGCCTAAATGGTATTTCGAGGGTCTTATAGTCTTAGTAGCTGTACTATGTATGTCATGGATTGTATCATATAGTCATTAGTTTTTAATCATTTGTAAAATAGAATATTTTTATTACTTACGCTGTATAGTAGTTTTTTCAACATAACATATAATTCTCTTTAACGATAGGAATAAAAGATGAAAAACCTTGCATTGGAAACAACGTTGGATAACTTTTATTTAGATTTTACATGATCTTCTAACTGCACCAAATCTTTTTTAGTAATTTCGTTCACTAGCACAATATAAACACACAACGCATGCAAAGTAGCGATATTCTATCACTTATACAGCAAAAATAAATAACAGCCATAGTACAATTTAATACTATGGCTGTTATTTATTTTTTTAGTTTTATAAAGTATTTATAAGAGTGTAACTGTACGCCATAAAAATAAGTTATATATAAGGCAGTTTGCATACACCATTGTTCAGAAATAAGATTTGAGTGATACTATAATAACACTTAGAGCTGTAATAATCAAGTGACAGCATGCAAAAAACAGCTTCTTTACAGTTTTAATGATAAAAGCAAATTCGAGTGTTAGAAAATACCTTAAGTTGTATACGAGAGTTTTCATATTCTGATTAAGAACCGTAAGGTTACTTAGATTACATAATACAGACTTTATACAGCTTGAGTTGTATAATAACTTATAAACCACTCTTATAAGGATACAACCTCTTTTCTACACTCTTATACGCTTCTAAAAGAACTCTAAGTTTTATGTGGGCTAGTATATTAATGTTCATAACACTTGTGTGATTCTTGGAAAGTTTGTTCTTCTCTGTCGTCTTTTACGATATCCACGGGACAATATAGGTTAGTGAATATTATTATACCGCTACGTTCACGGTCAAGATAAACATACGTCAACAACTTCAAACGTAGTATTCCCAACAACTACCAGTATAGGTGTGACATTGACTCATACCTGCTTTTTGTCTAGACTATGTTCATTTTAAGATCTATCCGTGGGGAGACGCTATTGAGATGATCCTCAGCGTCTTTATTTTACCATTATACAGTACTTGAATTCAAACTCAGGACCTGTTATTCTGTGGCCAAGTACTTTGGTAAGCAAACAACACGATTCATAAGGGTATCCATATATAAACATTTTTTTTATAAAAAACATACGTAATAAAGATATTGATTAATTTGCAACCTTCCGCTAACTAAATACAATGATGTGTCTTACCTGGATTGAAGAGCACCTCTCGCCCTCCCTCAATTGCGTGCACTAATCCCGCCACCACTACTCCCGGCACCACTACTTCCAACACCACTATTCCAGGAAAGACACACCATCGACGATAATACGACACGTGTTTCGCCTCTACACGAGGCATATTCAGGTGATGTAGACTCTACGGCGGCTGACCGCTAAGATATCTTATTCGTATATAATGGATTTCCGCAAAGTAACGCCTGATTCTATCAATTATCTTAAAACATACGTATTTGTTTATGTTATTAACGATTTTAATTGCCTCTTATAAAATGAGTTACTGTCTGTCGTACACATAACATGCAGCTGTCCGTCTCCACCTTTAATAAAATCCGTTTCATATCAACATGATCGCATTTAAAATTGCAACAATCTAGATTATATTATTATCATAGGTTTGGTTAAAGTGCTTGTCTTATACTACTTGTATAAACGATATTTAGACTTTCGAGTCAGCTCGCCCTTGATCAACCTGAATATTATTATGTTAATATGACTTGATGATTGATCGAGTGTTAACGCGGATTAGTAGCAGGTACATTTGTTTCAATTTTAGGTTTTCGGGGTTCGAATTTTTAGTAACGAACGATATTTGAACAAAACATATTTAACGATCGGTGTAAAAATATCCACTATCACATATCCTCCCGTGGGTTCCGTAAGAGTCGACAGAGGGAAACAAAAACTAGGAGATGGGCAGGAGCGTCTTCAAAATACCAATAAAAATTGCTGTTGTTAATCCTGCTGATAAGCGTTGCAACTATGGCAAATGTACCTACTATGAAGCATTCCATGGGGAAGCCTATATTCAGCAGTGGACCTATGATAACCTGTAAAGTTAGAATTTATTGCTTTTTATTGTTTTTTGTTTTGAATACATTGTGTTGTTATGTGTAACACTGTGTGTCCGAAATTGTATTAAAACATTAATATAATATTCTAATGCTACGAGATTTGTCATTTGCGCACTTAAGAGGATAGAGTAAGTCAGCTCAAATTCTAATTTCGCCCCCACTTCCCCGCGCGTCGTATGCTATGTACCGACATGTTTGTAATTCACTAATACTATAAGTAGATAGGTCGTTAGACACTTATTTCATTAGGTTTATCATATTTATGCCTGTTTCATAACGCCAACCCAGTCACTTCTTATTTTTATAACGGTTATTTCCCATTTTAATTTTACGTCGTCCTGTTGCGTAATGTGTATTCTGATCGTAAGCGACACAACTTCTCCCTTCAAAAGCCGGAGCGATACTAACGGGGCGACAGGAATCAAGCTTACGCGCCGATAGTTTAGGTAATTTCTTTTTACAGTGAAAATAATGGTATTTAAAAAAAAGTAAATAACATAACCACTGCTTTATAGTTAGTCCAGTTAGTATGCAAAGTTTCATGATCTTATTTAAAGTATTTTATGAATAACAGCGGTTTATTGTTTATTTTGGAGGTAACTTTGGATTTTTTTTCTATCGAGAATATTTTACGAAATCGTGTTATCGTCTAACATAATCCTTAGCATTAATCCTCAACTTAACCATATATTAATTTCAAAATTAATGCTGCAATATTTTCGGCATAACGAAGGATCTTGCTAAGCCATTTGACATTATATTTCCCCTTAATATAGAGATTTGATTGATTGATTGACAGAGAATTGATTGATTGACACCTTGTCGCTGCTACCCGTATATCAGATTCCGTGTGATTATTTAACCAGAAGATTTTTTTTATTCTTTTTTTTTTAAACGTTACACCTACACTAGGATTTTCTCCAGTGTCGTGGGGGTAGTTTACAAACATAAATTGCACAAGGATAAACATCCAAACCCGAAACAATTATTTGTAGGCCATACAAATACTTGTTCCGTGCGGGATTCGAACCCGCGACCCCCAGCGCAGCGCACTGCGCCACGGAGTCGTCACAATTCTTTACTTTGATTACATACACCTATCCTGAAGGATATTGCCGTAATAAATGCTATGTTAAACGTGTAGGTACAATGCACGCTTAAAAAAATTAGATGTAATAGTTTGTCTCCACAAATGCTTATAGTCCTTGACTAGCCGCACCTACATGCATTTTTTCCACAGCCCAACAATCGTATCACGACATACAATAACTCATAGCTACTGCAATATATTATTATAATATGTATGTTGTTCTCACACGTGCACATGTGACCCTTCACGCTGACGTAGTGTATGTTGATATACCAAATTGACTATAAAAGCCTCACCGTATCCGATAGTGAGCCATATCTCACCCAGACTTTGAAGAGCTTTTCTAAACATGATGTTAAAGGTGAGTTTCCTGCAAGACATATTAGTTTTTGCTAATTGGGACACTTAATAGTTTCACTTAACAATAATACGTAATAATTATTAACTACTTATAAATGATAATGTACCAAATAAAATATTTAATAAGACATTTAGAACGCACTAATCCCTTTATCAAAAGAAAAGTGTAAGTTTATAATTGTATTCCCGATATTACGGTATTTTGCATGAAATAAAAAAGTCCATTAGTCCTTAATACAGTGTAGTTTAAAGAAATTAGATTATACATAATATGTGCTTGTTACCTGTACAAAAAAATAAAATTAAAGTGTCTGTTTGTAATGTCAAAATAACGGCTTTTTACTAAATGCATATGAAAGTATATAGAGTAGTTATAACAAAAACACATTTTTTTGAATTTTTGTCTATCTGTTTGTTCCGGCTAATATCCGAAATTGCTTGATCGATTTTGACGTGTCCTTTCATTGGCAGATAGCTGAATAACTTAGGTTACATTTATATTAGAAAGAGAATTAGGGTTCCGCGCAAAAATATTTAAAATCCATGAAATTAAATCGAAATCAATTACAAGTGGGCGAAGTCGCGGGGAACAGCTATAGTGTACAATATAATTTTTTCTTATGAGTGACCTACTTAAAGTACAGTTCAAGACCAAAATTAGAATAAACAGAAATCTTCCTACATACTCGTAGGTTACCTACGTATTGTAATTTAAGCAATCTTATTGATGTAAAGATATTTTCAAAATGAGGAGGTTATAACATTATACTAAAAATATTCAATTTATGTAAGTAAAAATAAAGTTATAGCCTATAATATGCGTCCCACTGCTGGGCACAGGCCTCTCCTTATTTCTGAGACGGTTTTAGGGCAAGAAAGTGTCCACCGCTCTGCCCCAATGCGTGTTTGCGAACTTCACATGTCTTCGAAATATATTTTTTTCTTATTCCTCAGACATGCAGGTTTCCTCACGATGTTTTCCTTCACCCCTGAGCACGTGGTTAATTAGCACTTAAAATTGCAATTAACAATTTTAGTGGTGCCGGCGGGGATCGAACCCGGTTTGCTAGCGTATTGTGAAATTTACAGCGAGTGCTAACCATCTAAGCTACCATGGCTCTATATGATATCAATTTATGTAGCACTCTATTTCTATTCTATAACTCTTATTATTTTATCTAAAATAATTCAACTAATATAATTAACTGATTTGTATATTTATAGGTATTTATTCTGGTGTGCGCAGTGGCGACGGCTCAGGCTGGGGGCTTTCTAGCACCCGTTGGAGTTTATAGTACTCACTATGGAGGTCTTGGACCTTGGAATCCTTACAGTTCATATCCAGCACAGCCGGCGATTTCTTCACAACATTCCAATATACTGAGAACACCATTTAATCTCGGACAGGTAAAACCAATAAAAACATAAAAGTGCAAAAGCGGCCAAGTATCAACGTAGTCGGCATACCGCCGATAAAAAATTTGTATTATCTGAATAGGCTAATATACATTACCCCATATCGTCCCGTGGGTGTCGTAAAGGATGCCTGAAAGACACAAACCAGAAGATGGGCAACAGTGTCATTTAAATAACAAATTAAAATTAAAACTCAGATTGCCAAACCGCCTGCCCAGTGTAACAACTATGGCAAATATCATTTTTTACGTGGTAGAGCCATGCTGCAGTTATATTGATAGTATAGTTGTAGCACGAATGGGTCGGATCGACCGGGGAGTAACCACGCTCTCACAGAATACCAGCGTCAAATAGTACCTTAATGCTGCTGTGTTTCGTATGGTGAGTTTAGAGAACCGGAGACCTTTTTTACTGGAAACGAGGCATTCCACCTAAGTCCTCACGGGTAACAACGTATCTGCATTTTGTTTGGTAATCGAGGACAGATGTAGATGTCTCTGGGCCACAGCAACTACCATCCATCAGGTGGACTGTGTGCTCGTTTGTCACCCTATTCTATAAAAAAATCTTTCTCCTCATGGGGTATGAGGAGGCCTAAGTTCAGCAGTAGACTTTTGACAGGCTGCAACGGTAATAATAAGTAACCTTAAAGCCACATAGGTTTTTATGAGTGAGTCAGTGAGTGATGAAAATGACACTTTGTAGACCTCTAGAAACGATAATAGTTTTATTCATGAATATATTAATTAGATTAAGCGAAATTACAATTGATTAGCTCTTATAGTTTTAGAGTTATTAGGAGTTCGAAAGTTGCTCGAAAACTCAGAATGGTTCGTGTAAAATATACACACCTTGACATTTCCTATCACAAATGAACGATCGTTTCCCGTAACTGCTAAAGAACTGTTTTTTTTTTTTAAATTTTTATCATTCCGTTTTAGGTATCAACCTTCTCTAAGGCTGTCGACACACCATTCTCAAGCGTTCGGAAGTCAGATGTGCGAATTAGTAATCCTGGAGTAGCAATTGCGCCAGCTTATCAAAGTTATGCGACGCCTTTGGTGTCGCACTATGGTGTAGCAGCACCTTTAGCTGCTCCGGTGGCCAAAGTAAGTACCTATATCGAATATTATCGACTCTTTTTTAAGTCAAAGTTGTGGGCTTTGTAGACCTTGTCTATTTTCGGTTTACAATTGACAGATTTATTTATTTTTCTTTTAAATATAAAAAATCCTCAGTAGAAGTCTGACACCACGGGCTCATTTGAAAATTGGGAACTTATAGTCATATTACTTTACATGCATGTACCAGCAAAATTTGCAGGTGCATTTATGCATTGATTTACACATATTATAATTGCTTTATGACACATATTTTATATTAATACTTTAGCTTTTGATTAAATCGTAATAAATGTATATTGTGTTAAAAAGTAATAAGATTATCTGTATGATAAATTATATAAATACTAGCTTTCATCCGCAACTTTGTCCACGTAGAACATTAAGTAAAAACTGCAGGTCTTTAGGCATTTTGTTTAATTATCGAAAAAACCAAAGGGTTTTGATATTATAAGTATCAAAAATTATGAACAATATGGATAAAAATTTAAATAAAAATTGAAGATCTATTATTTTACGTAAAAGGATCTAATTATCTTATCCTGTACTAAAACTTATAGTTTCGTTGTAAAATGTTGTCTAATTAAAAATGTTAAGAATCGATTTTGCATCAATACTTTTTTATAGTATAGGGGTGACAAATGGACACACACAGTTCACCTGTTGGTAAGTTTTTTTTTATTTTATAGAAGAGGGGGCAAACTAGCATGTGGCTCACCTGATGTTAAGTGACTACCGACGCCCATGATCAACCGCAACACCAGGAGAATTGCAGGTGCGTTGCCGTCCCTTTAGAAAGGAGTAAGCTCTTTTCTTGAAGGTCCCCATGTCGTATCGGTCCGGAAAAATCGCCGGTGGTAAACTATTCCACAGAGATTAATAATTCTGTAAGTGGTTGCTGTAACCCATAATGCAGATGAGATGTCACCCCTGAGGACTAAAATTGAATGCCTTGTTGGAAACACGAAGAGTATTCGGTTCACAACACTTTTTACTATGACTACACTCACCATACGAAACTCAGCAGCATTAAGCTGCTGTTTGACGTTGCAGTTCTATGAGAGCGTGGTCCTTCCCCGGTCGAGCCATAATATATCTACAGCATAAAGTGTTAGATTGTTTTTGTATAAAATTAAAAACCAAAAAAGTTCAAGCTCTTATTAATTATAGGTAATAATATGGCATATTAAATTTAATAAACTGGTTAAGCAGTGTTCTCCGGAGAATGAGCAGAGCTATTAAATTTGTGTTTATTTGCTGAAAGTATTATTGTAAAAATGTAAAATTGTCTTTGCTAATTTGCTACGACCATAACACAACAAAAAAACGACAGAGCAATCAGTGTAAAATTAACAGCGTACATATTTCCACTGGACACTTTTAAGATACCTACATTATTTTATAATTCTTCAGATCCTATAATTTGTAAGTCTATTTAGGTACTAAGTGCATAGTTCTTGCAATTAACGAGTGTGACATGCCTGGGGCGGAGCGATATATTACTTTCCTCTATGCCGCTTCGCCAGGCAAGCACACTGTCACACTGTGCAAGTACATGTCGAAACACATCCAAAGGTCGAAAGGTACTTGTGAATTGCAAGATATATATCAAAATTTCAAATTGCAGGTAGCTGGAGGTCTCCTAGGCGTGGCGTATTCTGCTGCCCCGGCTGTGTCTCACATGACCTACACCAACGGTCTCGGTCTATCGTACGCTTGGTAAACGTTAAAACAGTCTGCAATCATTATAGTGTAATTATTTTTAATACTGTGTAAAGAGCTCAATAATTCCTCTATTTATTACCTGATAGTCATTAACGTTATTTAATAAACTTAATTGTTTTTTTATTGTTTTATTTTTATTTTATCATCATTTCAAATATAATTCATCAAACTAAAACAGTTTAACAATTTCGTAAATAATACATTTTACGTTTACAAATGTTGATAAGTAGTTGCTGTGGCCCATAGACATCTACATATTCTCGTTTACGAAACAAAATGCAGATACGTTGTCACCAGTGAGGACTAAGATGGAATGCCTCGTTTCCAATAAAAAGGGCCTCCGGTTCTCTACACTCACCATACGTAACACAGCAGCATTAAGATACTATTTTTCGCTGGCATTCTGTGAGAGCGTGGTGCTTTCGCCGCCCGAGCCGAACCATTCGTGCTATAACTATACTACTAATATAACTGCAGCATGGCTCTACCACGTACAATAGTTTGGTACTAGTACTGCTACAGAATAAATAATAGTACTGACAGGTCACATCACATCATATGTGTAAATAGGAAACGAAATAATAATGTTTCTTTTGCATTAAATTTGTATAAACAGCGATATAAATAAACGCGTAATTCTAGTATATTTTACAGTTAATGGCTCTAGAATACAACATGCGTGAATCCTATACTTTTAAACGAGCAATTCTAATATATATATATAATCGTAATCTCGGAAACGGCTCAAACGATTTTCATAAAATTTAGTGTCCAGGGAGTTTCGGGGGCAATAAATCGATCTAACTAGGATTCATTTTTAGAAAATGTTGTTTTATCCGTGTTTTCAGGCAATGAAAAACTGCTACGATATCATTACATCATCATTACAGCCCTTCACAAGTCCACTGCTGAACATAGGCCTCCCCCAAGCAACGCCACAAAGCACGGTCCTGAGCCACCTGCATCCATCGACTTCCTGCATGTCTTACCAGGTCGTCACTCCATCTAGTGGGGGTCGCCCTACACTACGCCTACCGGTACGAGGCTGCCATGTCCCTAGATGGTCTATATTCACATGAATCCAAATGTGAATATAGACCATCTAGGGATTCATTCAAACACATAAAAAATCATTACAAATATGCTTTCTGAAAGACTTTCCTCCCTTACAAACTATATAGGTTAATATACATAGATATACAAAGTATTACATATATAAGATATATTATAGAGAAACTAACATTATACATATTTGCACTTTCTAAGGTATCTAGTTGTTTGATAATCTGATCAGAATCAGCGTTATGAGAATTTAAATTTTTTAAATTCAAAGTTCTTAAAGTTATAGAATACGTAAGAATAACTGAATATTTAATTTACTTAACTTACAACCAGTATCGTTTCTTATATTAAAATCCGACTATATTTCAAGAACATTTTTACTCGGGTAGAGCTTAGTTTCTAATTTCAGATTTTTATGGAAAGCTACGCAATTTGGTGGTTGGCGGTTCATCATCATCATCATTACAGCCCTTCACAAGTCCACTGCTGAACATAGGCCTCCCCCAAGTAATGCCACAAAGCACGGTCCTGATCCACCTGCATCCATCGACTTCCTGCATATCTTACCAGGTCGTCACTCCATCTAGTGGGGGGTCGCCCTACACTACGCCTACCGGTACGAGGCTGCCACTCGAGAACCTTTCTTCCCCATCGGTTATCGGTTCTTCGAGCTATATGGCCGGCCCATTGCCACTTCAGCTTACTAATCCGTTGGGCTATGTCGGTCACTCTGGTTTTACTGCGGATATCCTCATTTCTGAGTCTATCACGCAGAGAAACTCCGAGCATAGCCCTCTCTATAGCTCGCTGAGCGACCTTGAGCGTCATCATACGGCCAGCAGTGAAGGACCACGTCTCAGATCCGTAAGTCATCACTGGCAACACGCACTGGTTGTACAATCTAGTTTTTAGAGATTGAGGTATACCTGACGAGAAGATATGTCGTAATTTCCCGAACGCTGCCCAGCCGGGTTGAATCGATCGGTCGAAGTTGGACCTACCTAGTCGGACTATTTGTCCCGGGTAAACGTACTCGTCAACAACTTCGAGCATAGTGCTCCCAACAACTACCGGCATAGGTGTGACATGGACATTAAACATGATCTTTGTTTTGTCCATGTTCATCTTAAGACCTATCCGTTGGGAGACACCATTGAGGTCATTGAGCATAGTACTTAGGTATTCCAGCGATTCTGCCATAAGGACTATATCGTCGGCAAATCGAAGGTGAGTGATGTACTCGCCATTGATGTTAATACCGTATCCTTTCCAGACCAGTAGCTTGAAAACGTCTTCCAATGCAGCGGTGAAGAGTTTCGGGGATATAACGTCACCCTGTCTTACACCTCTCTGCAGTTGGATAGGTTTCGAGCTCTGGTTCTGTACTCGGATAGCCATCGTAGCCCTACTGTACAAACACTTCAGCACTTCGATATACGGGCAGTCAATTTGGCACCGCTGAAAGGACTGTAGCACCGCCCAAATTTCGACGGAATCAAAGGGCTTTCTCATAGTCCACATACGCCAGGCAAAGTGGCAGATTGTACTCTTCAGTCTTCTGTACAATCTACCGCAGGGTATGTATGTGGTCTATGGTACTGAAGCCTTTTCGGAAACCGGCTTGTTTGGGAGGCTGGAAGTCGTCCAGTCTGCATGCGAGACGATTCATAATGACTCTCGAAAACAGCACGTAGACGCGGCTCAGAAGGGAAATCGGTCTGCAGTTCTTCAAGAGAGCGTTGTCGCCTTTCTTAAAGAACAAGACCACCGCACTTCTGCTCCACGCCTCTGGAGTAGTGCCACCATGGAGGACGGAATTGAAGAGCTTCTGAAGGACTTCAACTACCGGTGTTCCACCCGCTTTCAGAAGCTCCGCTGTAATTCCATCCTCGCCTGGGGCCCTGCCGTTTTTAAGGTGCTGGAGAGCCATTCTAATCTCGCTTAGACTGACGTCCGGATATCATCGGAATAGTGTCGGATAAGACTTGCTCTTGGATCGTTACTCACACTTGCGTGTGGCTCCAACGATGATGTGTACAGCTGCCCATAGAACCTCTCAATCTCACTCAAAATCTCAGGTGTCCCGGAAGCGATGCTGTCACACTCAGTCTTCAGCTTTGACAGTTGGCTCTCACTGGCAGACAGATCTCTGGCAAAGACTTTGGAGCCCCGGTTCCGCTCGATCGCTTCTTTAATACGAGCAGTATTAAAGTTGCGTAAGTCTCGCCGCATGCATTTGGAGATCTGTCTGTTCAGTTGCCTGTATGCTGTCAAATCTGTTGACGATTGCAGCCTCATCTCCCGTCTAACAGCCATGAGATTAAGAGTGTGATCGGAGAGTTTTTGTGTTCTTCTGCGGCGGGTCTTGCAGAACTTAGCTCCGACCGCATGGACAGTTTCCACGAACTTGTCATTCATATCGTCCACTGCATTGCAATCTTGTAGGCACTGAAAGCGGTTACGTAACTCGAGCTGAAAGTTTTTGGTTGGCGGTTGGTTCGGTTTAAATTGTTACTACACTCCACTGATAACTTAGTGGGTTTGATTTGTAACAAAAATCCATATGTTGTTGTTTAGTTTATGCCATATATTCAGATTACCAGAAATTATTCTAAACTTGAGTTGAGATTGATGTCAAGGCGTTCGTCATAATTTCTACTTCACAAGGTACATTATTGGATACTGTAGCTACACCTATAATATAATAAATGTAGGTATTTGTCGGAATACTTTTACGATACTTTTACAGCGAAAGTGTGCTGACCTCGTATACTGGGTTTGCAGATGATGATCAGATGCTGGGTGGTATTCTTTTTTTACTCTCTTTTCTTTTTTCTTTCATTTGTATGACTTCTGGCATAAATTTTCATGCAGCCAGACGAGTGTCGTTTTCGGAAATTCAGCGAAGAAACGAGTTTTGAGCGGTAAATATTTATAGAAATCACAAAATGTTCTCGTAATTGCACAACTGAGTCCTCAGAGGCACCAAGAACCTTTTATAGATCCCACCGCTGCCACCTTTTATATTGTATGTTATACGGACCTTCACGAAATGTCTTTAAAAAAACTATTTAGAGATTATAACTGGATTTATTTATAGAAAGATATAAATTGAGAGGCGAGTGTTTCCGATGAGAGTTATGACGGAGTGAATTCTCTAGTATATATACAGTAATCTATGGAGTGAATGGTATTGCAATTGTTGAGGTACCAATCTGTCTAAGCGCGAGTTTAGCTTTCGTCCAAAAATCAACTCGGCGGGTGACATGCCGGTGGTCGAGTGCTTTGAATTCCGGTAATCAAACAAAAACTTTTTTTGATTGTTTTGTGTTGCTGCTAGACATAATACTTGATTTTATACCCTTTTTGATTATTTTTACAATTTTGAAAAGTAATTGGAACTGTTTTCTGACTTGGAAAAGTGCAATATACGTAAACGATAACTTAACTTTACAGCTAAATTAATAAAAGAGACACAAGAGATTTTCAAAGAATTTTCATATATATATATATATATAAAAAATGAATATAATTAATGTTACTGAAACTTTAAAGACGTACAAAGGGTTGAAAATCATTCAATTAACTAAAAGTTTTGGTATAAGTCCAGATCTTTGTCCGGTTGCGCAATGTAGTATCTGAGACATGGATAATCACAAATGGCACTATACAATTTTAGACGGAAGTTAAAGGATACAAAGATGCTGGTGGTAACAATCCATTTCAAGAATTGGCAGAACTTGATTTAGGTACATGTTTTGGTTTTACCCCACTCGAACGCTGACATCGAAAGGATTTTCCACTCGATGAAAGTATTTTAAATCAAAGTAACGAAACCGTATGAATCTTAATACACTCGATTTTATATATTTGAACTGGTTTGAGACTTACTTTATTATGAAATTCCAAAAGATGAAAATTTGATACGAAATGACA